TACAAACCTTATCTTGGATGAGGACCTGACAGATCGATGGCGCGCCTTATACTGTTACTGTGTACTGTGTTCTTGTTGGTTAAGGGTGAGTCTAAAAATAGAGCAAACATTATTTCTATTAATTAATTAATATTATTAAGTAATTTTGCTTAATTGTTCAATCTAATAAGTTAATCTTATTATAAGGTAAGGTCATTTCACGCGCTACGTTTGGTCAACAATTACATAATAATAAACTCACAGTACGAGCTGAATAATCCGATCGAGAAAAGCAATTGTAATTTCGTACAAATTGAAATAGCAAGTACAGAAGAACGTGTTGAATACTATTTCTTAGTCATTACAAGGAGAATTTCACAGTTCCATCAAGTTAAGGACGTCCGCGGGCAAATTTTCCATCCTCCCACCCCACCCACTTCCCCCTCCAAAACTTCGCATAGTCAAATAATTAAGGTCTTCGATAAAAGTTGAAAGAGCAAATAAAGAATGGGGGTTACAGAATTCACTGAGGAGTGAGATAATATAGAAATGCAGCTACAGCTTTTTTTTGGTAATTTATGATAGCTTACGTGGAATCCATAAGTCGAGCATTCAAGAATCCTAGTCAACCACAATGCACTGCGCGACTATGTTATTGTTTACATTGTTTGTCTACATCGCTCTTGAAGTACTCTTATGGAGCAAAAGTTTTGCATCAGTACAAATTTGCTATGCAAAAGTGCTCAAAAGTTTACCAAAGTTTTCTTACTTTCATTCCATAGCAATTAAGTAGCTGTATTTTTTAGAAAGATCCTAATTGTAACATTATGACTTTTGGGCCGTTCATCTGGTAGCCATCGCAATCTTAGAATCTCACGGAAAGCAGAATGTGCTTATGTATCATTATATGATGGTGATAAATCATCTAGCAGGAATAACAAGACCGATGGAACTGCATTCTAAAACTTAACCATTCTACAACGCCATTTTACCTGGTACAAAAAAAAAAAATATGGCGCATTGCATATCAATATTTATGGTTGTATATTAACAACTTGCAAATTTTGGCTCAAATTTGCCGCCACCATGAAACATTCGGTGACTCCGGTTTGAATTGAGTGCAACGTAGATTTGAAATTTTTATTCAAATCATTATTTTTACCAAATTTGCTACATTGACAACTTATCTAATTTTTTAAAAATTATTGAAATAAAAAAATGGGGGCCAACGATTTTGTTCAACCAACCTCAACTTGCAATTTCGTAATGGTGTAATGCATTTCCATTACATTATTACTTTATAATGTTTGCGTATGAGAATACTGTACACATGAATATGAGACGGTTCAGCCAAATAAAAGACGGTGCATTCAAGAAAAGAATCTTATTCTCAAACGAATTAATGACATCATTTGAAATAAGGAAACATTACTCCCAATCAAAAAGTGTCTATTAATACTGTCTGGCGTAATGTGCATGTAGACGATAGTCAAAGTTGGTACAACGTAACGTACTCCAAGTTAAAGTAAAAAACCACTATGCATGATTTAAACCTCACTTAAAAATGAAAACAGAAAGATTCTTAAGCTAGCACGTTTCTGTGGATTGTTACAGAAGCAAAGCCCAAGGTTGCTGTTCGTCTAGTGGATGGTAAGACTCCTAACGAGGGACGTGTAGAAGTGAGATACAATGGTGCTTGGGGTACCATATGCAATTATCGATGAGGTATATTGGATGCTTACGTGGTGTGTCACATGTTGAATTATTCCAAGGCAGTTACAGCAACGACTGCTAGCGTCAAAGGGACTGGTCAAATATGGCTTAAAGGGCTTCTTTGCTCCGGATCCCAAGAATCTATTGATCAGTGTGGTCATGCTGGCTGGGGTAACACTGTTGGATGTGATCACAGCCGTGATGCTGGAGTGGTATGTGGCAATCTAACACCAGGTAAAACTAGATAATTTACAAAACAAGATATTCATATGCTCTTTGTTTATCTATTCAATCATGTCAAGAAACAATATTGTAAAATCATCAACTGAAAATTATTGCATTAGTTCGTTGCTATTTTTATCAAATATTCATGTTACTTTTTGTGACATCGTTGATTAGAATAGCTATCTATAAATATTGTGTATCTTTACTCTCTGGACATGAAATCAAGCAATTTAAGGGATGTGATTAGAATGTTGTTTGTTTATTGACCAATATTTTTTTCAGAGGAGAAAGCGATCAAAGTTCGTCTGGTGGGAGATCAAAACCATACTGGCAAAGTAGAAATCAAGTATCAAGGGACCTGGGGAGTAATATGTGATTATTCGTGGAATTGGTGGGATATACGAGATGCTCACGTGATCTGCCGAATGATTGGTTACAATGCAGCTAAACACAATTCGCAATTCGGTTTATTGAATGAGAGACAACAAGAAGAGAGCTCATGTATCGTGTGAGATGCAGTGGTAGAGAAAAATCCATAGCAGAGTGTGTTCACTCAGGATGGTGGAAGTTTAATTCATTGTGCTCAAATAAACTTCTTGCTGGTGTGGTTTGTCAGACAAATGAAGGTAAGAAAGACAAATCTGTACTTTACTCTAATCATTCAAATATCATCACATCAAAGCGAAACATCTAAATAGTTCATTTGTTGATCAGATAATAGCTTTAGTAAAGGTCTACTTATTCTCTTCCAAACACTTGTCCAAGTGTCTGTTGTACAATGACCTCAGTGATGTTGGTACAAATCCACAGATCCTCCACCAGTTCAAGTTCGTTTAGCTTGAGGAAGGTCACACAATTCTGGTCGACTTGAAGTCAGGTACCAAGGTCAGTGGGGTACTGTATGTGATGATGGATGGGACATGAAAGACGCTGAGGTGGTGTGTCTTATGCTTGGTTACCCTGGAGTACAGGAATACATAACCACCAACTTTTCATCCGTCAAGGGTATAATATGGCTGAGAAACGTTGGTTGTACAGGAAGAGAAACGTCGATTACAGACTGCAGTCACAATGCATGGGGTAATCCGCGCTGTACCCATAGTGAAGACGTTGGAGTGACGTGTAAGATGGGTACGTTATTAAAAAAAAACAAATGTGTACCGCGTCGAATGTCATGTCCCGCATCTACTGCAAATTAATTCAAGATCAAACAACAGGTTTTGCTCAATTATATTGAAATTCAACACATGTGAAATTTGATTTTTAAACTGGGCGTTACTTTTGTATTGTCAGTGACTTAATTTTAGTTTTGTTAGACTTTGTTTTGTTATTATTAGATATTATTCCCTAAAACTCTGGCGCACCGTCTTTATTTCTAACGAAAAAATGAGAAAGAAAAATACTTTGACTTTGATCTTAATTTTGAAGGCGCAGTTGGAAGGACAACACAAGAACCTACAACTGCTAAACCATTGCTGACCAAACCATTGACCAGGTTAAGGAAAAATCAGTTGCTTCAAATGTTATGAAAGTAATGTAGTACTTACCTTTTAACACCTCACAATGTGCATCTTTTTAGCAGCGTCACTGAGAGGCCAACAACAAATAAGAAACAGGTGAGTAGTTAGCAATGGAAGTTAAAAAAAAAAAGATAAAAAAGAGCATGACCCAGTGGCAGATCCAGGGTTTTAAAAAGGGACGCGGTTCCAAAATGGCGGCCACGCAGAAAAAGCTGGTGCAATCAGCTTCACCAAGGGGATTTCTATTTTATTGATCTACTAAGAAGCATAAAACAAAGGGCTGGAACCGCCACTACGACCTGGTGTTATAATGTGTTTGATTTACCTTGGTTAATAATGATAGAAAATTCAAAACAAAAGTTTTACATTTTTTTCTTGACATAACATAAGCGAACTGGAGAGCCTGGCTGCGGTAATTTTACACCGAAAGCGAATTGCTCAAAAGAAGATGATGGTAAGAAAAACATATACAAAACATGTACATAGATATAGCCAAGCATACTAAAAGATTCTATCATAATCAGTTAACCCTTCAAAAAAGTCTAAAGAATCTAGAATCTATAGGCTTTTGTCATAATTCTGATGTTCAAATATTTTGATGTCAGAATTTTGTATGCAGTTAAGAAATCTTGAAGGATTCAAGATATCTTAACTTTGATGGGTTGCTATGGCTACTAGTGGAGACAAGAGGCGATTTGTTTAGCTAGTGAGACATAGTTATATCATTTCGGTAATCAATGATTTACGAGTAAGCTGTAGAATGTATTGATAACGTACCAAAGTGGAGTAGAATGATGTGATGGTCACCGAGGCTGTAGCAGACGTTAATGGCTGTGGAAAGTTGGGTAAGTACTGAAACACTTTTGCTCACACATGCATTTGGGAAGGTACGTTTTATAATGGGGGAGAGCGGGATGCAAGATTCGCAGTAAATTTTTTTTAGCTGATTGTAGCCCTCGCCTTTTATTCAGTAAGAAATATATGACCCTCCTATAGAGTTAACAAGGAAAAATATTTCGTCAGAAAATAAAAATGTTTGACCTGCCAAAAAAGTTATTTTTTTTTTACTATTGACATTCCCCTCGAAAGCCCAAGCCTTCCCCAATAAAAGAGGTACCTTATTTCGTTCTTCAGTTCCTTTTATTTCGTGAACCGGAACGGTTCTTTAATTGGTTTACATCTTTCATCTCCAGTCTTCTCATTTATACCTTTTCGTGTTAGTTGTCCTATTGATTGATTGCTTCATTCATTAAACAGATTTAAACCTCCATTTCTTTCTTCTTCTTTTTTCTCTCCCTCGCACCCATTCGTTCTTTTATTCATTTTTCATTCATTTATTCAATCGTTCGCTTTTTTTATCCACCCATCCACTTCTTATTTTGCTTTGTGCTTTGTTTTTGCATTCGTTTTTTTTGACCACACAGGAAGCCCATTAGAGTAAAGAAAAGAACAGTGATGAACTACTAAACCAAAGGTAATAAAAATAATAAACACATTTCAGCAATAATTCAATGACCTACGTACATAACTGACATTTGTTTTTCTTCGTCTTAGATGATGACGTCACCACAGTTGAATTACGTCACTAAACTGTGATCAGAATGATGCAGACAGACAGACAGAGCTATAACTAAATAAGTATATTCAAATAGTTAGTTAGGTAGTCAGTCAACAGTCAATTTATAGATGTATATTTTATTGAAGTATATAATTATAGATGTGAATATGAATATAAATCAACAAGTACAATTGTATGTACCAATAAAGACACATATATAGATACAAAATAAATAAATGTAAACACCAAAGCATTTTATGCCATCTCCCCTACCCCTCCCTCCTCCATAGACAGACTTTGCACCCCCTCCCCCTCCGCCATCCATGACAAGGAGGACTGATCAGGACTTTCTCCACCACTAACGAAAGCAGTCAGCTCATTCCTTATGGTTTGATTAAGATTTTGCTTTGCCTGCCTGTTTTTTAGCCTAGGCTATTCATATTTAGACTAGCTTATTATGAGAAAGCAAAATATAAACTATTAATGTATGGGTAGGGTTGGGAAACTGTACTAAATGTTCCTCTATATTTGGCGCGCACACGCTTAAAGGCTTGAATACGTTTGACCTTATTAGTTCAAATTTTAGTAAAATATAAAAAGCACCGTAATCATAAAAAAATTAAAATAAAAATGAAATACGAATTTCATAAAGAAATTATTTGTTATTATTGAAAAAAAAATTTTTTTGTCAAAGTTTCAAATATTTTTGTGTGAATCAAAAGTCACTCGCCCCACTCCCCCCTGACAAAACTAGACTCGAAGGCGTAACAAGCAGCTCTAAAACGAGCTGTGCTGTTAATTGCAATCAATATCCTTACTATTTATACCTGATCCCAGTGTCACACTGTAGTCATTCTTTGCATTACCTTCTGCCTTGGCTGCAGCGTTCACTAGATTTCCCTACGAACCTTATCTTGGATGAGGACCTGACTGATCGATGG